TTAAAAATTTTTCCTGAAGAAAACCACACACGGAAACCTTTTTATAAATCCTTTTATCATAGATAAATCGAATGCGTAATAAATTGAAACTGGAAAATATTTAAGATGAAAAGGCAAAATGAAAGAACAGATTTCGATAATTGAAATTCACGGAACCGAATAAAATATAATTTACATAAGCTTTAGGAAGTATGGACAGACGACAGAAGCAAGAGCAACAGCAGGAGTAGCATAAGCAGCAGGCAACAGTAGAAGGAGGAGCCGAAACTCCCGTATCAATTTAAAATAGATAATTAATTTTAGGCCTTTTATATTAAGTTTCCATGAGAATTTATTCAAATGTTATTATCCCTTTTCTTCTGTTTATTTTAATAATAATAATAATAATAATAATAATAATAATAATAATAATAGGAATAGGAAAGCGTTGATGGATGGAAAGTCTTATATCATGGAACAAAAACAAGATTGAATATTGTAGAAGGCGTGTCTCTCTTAATATTGAACCTAATTTTCTAACCGGAAAATATTAAATTATTATTTCATTGTTATCAATCAACTTTTATCACTGCCGAATAATCAAGACTACGGACGGACTTTGATGACCATGAAAAAAAAAAAAAATCAGGTGTTTATGATATTAATACTTTTTGTAAAAAAGGGTACCAATCCGCACCTGTCGTAGTTTTTACTAAAGTTAAACATTGATTACTATTATTATTAAACACAAAAAATTTTTTTTCAATGTTGTAATATGAAAAAACACTGGAATAGGATGGGGGGAGGGGGGTAAAAGAGTGGTAAGGGAGGGAGGAAAGGTGAAGGGAAAAAAAAAGATTTAAAAATTTATGTAGTAATCCCTAAAAAAAAAAAAATTTTTTTTTATTTTATGTACGTATAAATTATTCAATCGACATTTTCACATCAAAAGCTCTAATTTCAAATGTAAAACGATCAGAAAAAAATTTTTTTTCTTTTATTTTTATCCCAATTTAAAAAAACTTTTTTTTCTACAATTTTTCCACATTTTTTTCTTCTATTTTCATCCCTTCTAAAGAATTTTCTTTTTTTTTTCTTTCAATCACACCTATTTTGAATAATTTTCAATAAATTTCTACTTTTTTTTTCTATGTTCATTCTCTTCTTCATGTTTTTTTCCATTCAATTTTTTATTATTATTATTATTATTATTTTCACCAATTTCGAATTTTTTTTTTGGTTCAAAAATAAAAACGAATTGAAATATGGAAAACATTCAAAGAGCAGAAGCTTTGAAAAGTTTTCTTTTTTTTTTATGTTACGTCTGTCTTTATAAAGAGTTTTCCATGACGGTTTTTACTTTTTTTT